GGCATTGTATCTTACAAATAAAGTTAAATATCAAACGTAATAATTATCTTTCCTTTAATATTGAAAACCCATTTTTTTTTTATCAACTGAAAAATGAACGATGGAGATTAAATCTCTAAACCCGATTAACATATCCGTTTAGTTAGTTAGATCCGCGTGTTAACCCAGTTAGAAATGATAATTATTTCATTTTGAAACTATAGTGTAAATTCATTGTGTACTTCAGCTTTAATAGTATAGATAGAAGTGAATAGGTTAAAATTGGAATATATATTTTGTTGAAAAATCGTAAGTAGAGAAATGACAATATTTAATATTTTAAGTATTAAATTGTACGTGTTTATTATTTTGAGTATTATTCTTCTAACCTAAAAAGATCAGGTATTAAACGTCCAAATAAAAAATAGATGAGGTATTTTAAAGCTTTTTTCCCCTTTTTAAATACTTTTTAGAATCCTTATAAATTTTTTTAAAAAACCTTTTAGAAACCTTATAAAAGCCTTATAAAATCTTATAAAAGTCTTGTAAGACCTTAATATACATTTAAACACTTTATATAACCTTGTAAAACCTTTAATATACGTTGTAAACCTTTTTAAATATTTTTTAAAACATTTTCAAAACCTTATAAAACGCTTATAAAATCTTTTAAAAAAACTTTATAAAAGCCTTGTAAAACTTTTTAAATAGTTTTTGAAACCTTATTATTCATTAAAACACCTTATAAAACCTTTTCAAATACCTTTTAAAACCTTTTTAAAACTTTTATAAATCCTTTCAAAAAAAAACCTTTTAAAAGTCTTGTAAAACCTTTTAATAACTGTTTAAAATTCTTATAAAAGCATTGTAAAATATTTTTAATACTTTACAAAACCTTTTAAAGTCTTTACTAGATTTGGACCCCCACATACGTGTGAGATTGATTTCAAAAACTAAATTTGCTATCATGTTTGCAATATATCACGTATATGCAGAATTATATTTGTAAAAGGAATGTTTTAAGAATGTTATTAACATTAATAATCCAAACTCGTACCAGTTCAGTATTTGATTTGTTTTCAATTTAGTTTAAACAAAAATAACGATAGGATTTGGTTTTGTTACCCGTAAAAACAACTATATCAAAAATATATATAGTAAAAGAAAAGTGGTTGTCTATTTTCGGGCTGAGACCCTATCTCGTATCGTCTCGTCGTAGATATGTCATGTTTTTTCATCTCATTACCATGATTTTAATAATAATTTAACTATTTCAATTGTCTATTTTAATCTAATATATATATATATATATATATATATATATATATATATATATTCACAATTATGCGTGGAGTTTTATTTGTACATATATCTATTTGAAACAACATTTATAGCATAAACTTATATTGGTTTCCTTTCATGAAGTTGGTGAATGTTTGAAATAATAATTGCTTCATATTAAATTATAATAATGTGAATCTTATTTTCATAAAATAATTTAAAATTAGATCAAAAATTAAAATATGAAATTTGAAATAAGATTGCTCCATAATTTAGAATAAGAATTAAAAGTGGTTGGATTCAATTTGAGAAGATTGCTCCATAATTTAGAAGTTTACATTACTTATTTTTGGAATTTAAAATAAGATAATAAGTATGTATTAAACTTCAAAATTTTAGGGGGAATTTCAAAAATACTCCTTTTCCAATACCATTTTTTAAAAATACCCATCTTTCTAATTTTATCAAAAAATCACTATAAGTTTTGAAATTTATTAAAAAAACTATGTGTAAGCTTATATTTAAAGACACACAAATTATCTTAATATGTGTGTAAATTTACATATATATTTCATAAATACCGTATAAATATCTTTTAAAAATCATTTTAAACTCTAATAAAAACCTTGTAAACCTTTTAAACCTTATAAAAACTTTATAAATGCCGTTTATAACCTTTTAAAACCTTATAAATATTTGGATTTAGTCTCCCAGTAGTAATGATGATCTTGATGTACTTTATCAACCATATAAAAGTTTATAATTTTTCATATTTGAAAATATGTATTTTTGAAAATAGATAGAAAAGAGGGGTATTTTTTAAAAGGGTAGACCAAAAATGGTATTTCTCAAAAATTCTCAAAATTTTATGAGCTATATTTCATAAAATTTAATGGGGATTTTCAAACCTATATTTTTGTAATGATAGATATTTTCTTAATTTGAAGATTTTTTTTAGCTATTTTTTAGGATTCTTGATTTTTTAACAATACTAATATAAGAAATGTAGAATCAAATTGTTGAGATAATATTGATATTATGAAATCTGAATAATTATTAATTAAACTCTAAAAAAATCTATAAACTCTAAAAAAAATTAAAAATATGTTTGCCCCGCGGCGTACTGCGGCTTAAATTTTGTATATTGGAAAACGGGTTAAAACTGATTAATATTGTTATGCAAAATACATAGAGAAGCAATTACTGCAAATTTTATTTACTTTTAGAATAATATTTATACACGGGCTGTATGAAAGGACGGGTTTGAATCGTATTATTAAAATATTAAAATATCATTAATCTTATACTTCAAAATGTGTTAAAACTTAGTTATACTATTTTTTTTAACAAAACTAATATACGAATACGACATCTCGAAACAAACTGATTTTTAAACAAATTCCAACAAAACTTAAAAAATTAAATTAAAAAATAAAACATACAAAAGTTTACTTGTAACGAAGTAAATATTGATAGTATTTAATATTTTAAATTTACCTAATCTAAACTTAGTATATCAATTTTAAATACTATAAATATCAATTTATTGTAAACATTTTTAAAATAAAATATTTTAATATTTTAAAATATATTGGTTTAAGTTAGGTAAAATATATTTAAAAAATCTGAAATATGTTTACAAATACACAATTTCGAATTTAATAGGCCACATTTTATGGTTAACAAATTTATTATGGTTTCAATGAATATTGATTAGTTATTAGTTTTGATTTTTTATTTATTTTAAAGCATATTTTTCCATTTGAAAATCTGTCATTAATTCTGTTTGGCTATAGGTTTAGATTACATTTTATTTCATTTTTTCTATTTAATCTGTTTGGATACACCTATAAAAAATGCTCCCCTTTTAATAGTATAGAATAGAATAAGAATTAAAAGTGGTTGGATTCAATTTGAGAAGATTGCTCCATAATTTAGAAGTTTACATTACTTATTTTTGGAATTTAAAATAAGATAATAAGTATGTATTAAACTTCAAAATTTTAGGGAGAATTTCAAAAATACTTTTTTCCAATACCATTTTTTAAAATACCCCTCTTTCTAATTTTATCAAAAAATCACTATAAATTTCGAAATTTATTAAAAAACTATGTGTAAGCTTATATTTAAAGACACACAAATTATCTTTATATGTGTGTAAATTTACATATATTTCATAAATACCGTATAAATACCTTTTAAAAATCATTTAAAAACCTAATAAAAACCTTATAAATGCCGTTTAGAACCTTTTAAAACCTTATAAATATTTGGATTTAGTCTCCCAGTAGTAATGATGATATTGATGTACTTTATCAACCATATAAAAGTTTATAATTTTTCATATTTGAAAATGGGTATTTTTGAAAATAGATAGAAAAGAGGGGTATTTTAAAAAGATAGACCAAAAGGGGTATTTCTCAAAAAATTTCAAACTTTTATGAGCTATATTTCGTAAAATTTAATGGGGATTTTCAAACCTATATTTTCGTATGATAGATATTTTCTTAATTTGAAGATTTTTTTTAGCTATTTTTTAGGATTCCTGATTTTTTAACAATACTAATATAAGACATGTAGAATCAAATTGTTGAGATAATATTGATATTATGAAATCTTAATAATTATTAATTAAACTCTAACAAAATCTATAAACTCTAAAAAAAAAAATATATATGTTTGCCCCGCGGCGTACTGCGTCTTAAATTTTGTATATTGGAAAACCGGTTAAAACTGATTAATATTGTTATGCAAAATACATATAGAAGCAATTATTGCAAATTTTATTTACTTTTAGAATAATATTTATACAAGGCCTGTATGAAAGGACGGGTTTGAATCGTATTATTAAAATATTAAAATATCATTAATCTTATACTTCAAAATGTGTTAAAACTTAGTTATACTATTTTTTTTTAACAAAACTAATATACGACATCTCGAAACAAACTGATTTTTAAAAAAATTCCAACAAAACTTAAAAAATTAAATTAAAAAAATAAAAGATACAAAAGTTTACTTGTAACGAAGTAAATATTGATAGTATTTAATATTTTAGTATATCAATTTTAAATACTATAAATATCAATTTATTGTAAACATTTTTAAAAATAAAATATTTTAATATTTTAAAATATATTGGTTTAAGTTAGGTAAAATATATTTAAAAAAATATGAAATATGTTTACAAATACACAATTTGGAATTTAATAGGCCACATTTTATGGTAACAAATTTATTATGGTTTCAATGAATATTGATTAGTTATTAGTTTTTATTTTTTTTAAAGCATATTTTTCATTTGAAAATCTGTCATTAATTCTGTTTGGCTATAGGTTTAGATTACATTTTATTTCATTTTTTCTATTTAATCTGTTTGGATACACCTATAAAAAATGCTCCCTTTTAATAGTATAGATAAAATTCTTTTGAAACCTTTCAAATACCTTATAAAATATTTTAAATACCTTATAAACTTGTAAAGGACTAATAACATATGATGATGATCTCTTTGGCTACTAAAGTATTTTCAAACATAATTACGTGTGCCATCAGATTGCATGTCATGATTATCTCTTTGGTTACTAAAGTATATATAAACGAATGTTGTCAAAATAGCTATGCAATTATTAGAAATCTGCAGAAAACAACCTCTGCAAATAATTCACCAGTCACCACAACCTATAGCTCATTCGATGTACATCTCAATAGCCTCTGCAAATGCAAGCAATCACCAACAACAATAACATTTCCAGCTGAAATCTATTTTAAAACAGCCTCGGCAGCTGCAATTCTCACACTAAAACTCCACAACTCAAAACTTGTACCAAACAAGGGAACTAATCGTTTGCTTAGCTTCGTTTCTTCTCCTCCATTTGTCACCTCTGCTGCAAGTTTGGCTTCACTCGTCCATTTACCATCCACAAAAAAACACATCGATTTTTTCAGATGTGGTAAATAGGAAAGGCACATCAACTTTTTCAACTTAGCTCATTAGAGCAACCACAACAACAGCTCGACAGGGTAAAAGAGAGAAAAAGAACTATGGACCACTAAATCCAACCCACAATCTAAACATATATAACGAGATGATTAATCAAAGGCAAAAGATGAACTAACCTAACGAAGTATGTACAAATGTGGCCGCAAATCTAGAGTGGCCTTGGTTAACTGGACATAGGCAACACAAACCGCCCTCTAAACACGACTCCAACATCTCAACAGCAAAGGAGAACCTAGACAGACGAAACCTATTCAAAACAACAGCTATGATCGATGACGATGAAGATGGCGACTAGATCTCTCCGCTACGAAGACGAGATCGAAGAAGAGAGTTCGACAGCTTTTGGTTCTAAAGGAGAAAAAATTAGGTTAGTTTTTGAAGGGTAGCATGTATTTAACGTAACGTGAAGGAAAATTTTAAAAAAAAAAAAAAAAAAAACTACGTGAAGGAAAAAACATGTTACTAACAGATCAAGGCACCTACCCATTGAGTCAATCCAGGCAATCCTCTGTGGCTTCCACACGAAGCCCTGGAACTGCATTCTCAATCTTTTCCCACATACACAAATTCTCCTTGTCGCAAATTACATGGCACAAGGAAGTCAATTTAACCGCAGAGCTCGGTATGCTCAGTAAAGGACATGCTCTCATGTCAATTTTCTCAAGCCTGCTTAGCTTTCCAACCTCTTCTGGAAGACAACTAAGGTTGACGCATTGAGAGATGTCAATGTATTTCAGATTCGGCAGCTCACAGATTTCTTCAGGTAGACTCTTCAGCTCCGGGCAAGCGTATAGCCTTAGAAGTTCAAGGGCCATTAGCTTACTCATATTATTAGGCAATTCACCAATGGAAGGACAGTTTGTTATGCTTATGGAGTTGAGAGAGGTGATCCCGGAGATGGTCGAAGGTAGTTCAACCAGATCCTCACAATGATCTATTGTGATATCGGATAAGTTTGGGAAGATTAGGTTCATGTCGAGTGCTTTTTGATTAACACTCTTGCAGAAGATTAGAGACAGCTTTTGGAGGTGCTTCAGTGTGATTGTACTGTAGGGTACGTAAACCATCTGGAGCCATAGACTTCGCAGTTTAGCCAAATTTGTAAAACTGGAGAAGTCTTGTAGACGGACATGAAACAGACCATTGTTGATAACTAAGAGCGCCTTAAGCCTGCCCATCTTAGCAATAAAAGGTGGCAATACATAGTTGTCTGAGGAGAAGTTTATAATCAGAACTTCTGTCTTGGGGAGTTCCATGTCAAACCAATCCATTTCATTCATTTCGCCTGTAAGAAAACAAGAAAAATGGAAACGTATATCAATATCTGATTATGATTCTAGTGACACCTACCTGTAAGTTATTCAAAGATCGTGACCTGTGTGAATGGAAACTACACGTGCATTGTATGGTTCATCATTGCTCCTTTCCCATTCTCTAGGGAGCGTCAACGCTCTTTGCGGCATGGATAACCGCTTTCTACTATTTACTTTCCCAAAACTACTAAGAAGAAGTGCTACATCTCTTAGAACATCGTGCTGCGTTACAAATACGTCATGGTAGCCAGTGTACAAAGCGCCGAACCTGCAAGAATGATCCACAATTTAATAAAGCTTAAAGTGGCTAGAAGAGATTGAGCTAGAGAGACCCTACGGAGTTCTCATAACCTTGGATCTTTCACGAGAGTAAGGAGATTCTTGTCTGCTAAATCCATAAGAATTGAAAAAGCAGTTTCCTCGTCCATATCATGTAGTTCAACCCACATGTTGATGATAACACCAAGAGGGATTTTTTTGTCTTCAGGAAAAGCACCAAGATCCAAGAAACACTCTCTGGATTTTTTATCGAGAATTTCGAGACTTGCTTCGATTTGAGCAAACACTATAGTCTCGTGGTTTATATCAGCAGGTTCACCTCTTGATAACCTGTTCACTGCACCTTGCCAATATTTTTCAGGTCGGCCTTTTAATGAAGCGCCAATGACTTTGAGAGACAAAGGTAGACCTTTACACTCGTCAACAACCTACCAAACAGAGTTAATATGAATACTGAAAGCAGAAAGAATAAAACTATTTATGTATGAGTGACTATGACATTGTAGCAGACTGATTACCTGCTTGACCAAACTTCTGCTTAACCCAGAAGGGACTGATTTCTGGTCAAAAGCAGAGAGACAAAGTAGAGTCATTGCGTCGTGTTCATCGAGTAACTCTACATCATAGGTCATTCTTGGACCTGCGAGTTTAGAACGTGAGACCACAAGAGTAGTGGTTCCAGGAAAATTTTCAAACATCAGTTGCTCCAGAGATTCCCTTGTCCAGACATCATCAAGGATCACTAACTTCCGTGTTTGACCAATCGAAACCGGAAGAATGGCACCAGAGCCAGCCTCATTATCAGTAAGAAATTCCAATATAAGGGACCTCAGCTTCTCAAGATTGGGAGATTGTGATACAGTCAGAAACAAAACCTTATTCCCAAAG